GGCAATGTCGCAATAGGTGAAGGAGCGAGATCACTTGTGAGAAATGAGGACTGTGGTGGGACCGGCTCCGCTGGAGCGACCGAGTGCGCGGGTGTCGTAACCGTCTCTGTTCCAGGGAGCTCAACCCTCCCAAGCCCCCTCGTCGGATCCGGCTGGCATGGAATTGGAGGCCCCGATGGAGATCCCGTAGAGGGAGGTAGACTGGGGGTTGTGAATGTCACCCCGCGAGGAGGCGTGGAGGGTGCTGCGCACAGATAGTTGAACTCTAGATACCATAAAGATACGTGTGAAGCTGGAACGTCTGGGCTCTGAAGGAATACTTACCCGAGATAGTGTTATTCCAAGCTGTGAAAAAACCGGGCGGCAAATTGCAGGTCCAAATTCCGTTGGGAATAAGGCATAGCGCACACGCCTCTAAGCCCTCTGCAGCCTCGCGAGTGCAGATACAGAGGGTGGAATGGCATGACTATGGTCACGATGTCAGGCGGAGTCCCGGATACATGCCAGGGGAATTAAGCGAACCTTGATAATTCTGTCAATCCCATGACATCGAGAGGGGCACTGATGCAAAAGCCATATCGATTGGGATGGAAAGTAGTAGCGCGCTAGTTATCCGCCAACTCACAGGTGAAGTCTGCCGTGGCAATATTATGGTCCCTACTAGTAACGCTTCGACTCCATGTGATCCTGCAAGGCAAATCGTCCATATAAACGGGGTAGACAGTAGAGGACATCGATCTCGTGCCGACCTTGAGCTGCATAGACTCCACCTACACATTGCTACACTACATCCTGTAGTAGAGTACTGTGTGATCGCATGGAATAAATACCGTGAATCACTATGGGCAGCACATAGCTCCACTCCAGCAGTCTAAGTAGCCCACTGTGAAGGCGGGGGATACTGTGAAGTCAGGGGATCAGCATATATATAATGGCATTGAATTAAAATGTGTATTAATGAATAGTACGAAAACATTTGCAATACTGTAATATGTCCTATCCAGACAGCTAGAAAGATCGGTGGGGTGGGGTCATGTTGTAAGGGATGGTGCCAGACGGAGGACGGCGAACCCGACGTTTCACCTTCAACTGACCTTCCAACCACCCAGTCGGGTGCTTACTTGTGGGATGGAATAGCCACGTTGATAGCTAAGCACCGGATGGACGGTGTGGAACTGGATTCCCCAGTTCGCAGTGGGGAACCCGCATGTGAGATGTCCATGGCACAGTGAACGCCTATGCACCTGAGCGTCAGCCTCAAGTCCAACCCCTCGAATATGGTGGGAACCCCTCACCTATGTGCTGAATGAACGCCCGTGGACGACAGCGCACCGGAGGGTAAGCCAGATGCTGACACTCACAGCACGCAGTGACCTACCCACCTTTGAGATGGCCGTGGCGCCGTGGACGCCTGTGCACCTGAGCGTCAGCCTCAAGTCCAGCCCTCGAATATGGTGGGATCCCCTCACCTATGTGCTGAATGAAGGTCCGTGGACGACAGCGCACCGGAGGGTAAGCCAGATGCTGACACTCACAGTACACAGTGAACCACGCACCTTTGAGATGGCCGTGGCGCGGACGCCTGTGCACCTGAGCGTCAAGCCCAGCATCCACTACCCCATCCAAACCTATAGGGAAAGAACATCCCATCTCCCAACCCAGGAATAGACCCGTGGAAGACGGTGCACCGGAAGGTAAGCCACAGCCTCACAATGACAGGACACAGTGACCTACGTACCTTTGAAATGGCCATGGCGCCGTGGACGCCTGTGCACCCTGGGCGTCAAGCCCATATATCGAGCACCCCATCCAAACCTATAGGGAAAGAGCATTCCATCTCCCAACCCAGGAATAGACCCGTGGAAGACGGTGCACCGGAAGGTAAGCCACAGCCTCACAATGACAGGACACAGTGACCTACGTACCTTTGAAATGGCCATGGCGCCGTGGACGCCTGTGCACCTGGGCGTCAAGCCCAATATCGAGCACCCCATCCAAACCTATAGGGAAAGAGCATTCCATCTCCCAACCCAGGAATAGACCCGTGGAAGACGGTGCACCGGAAGGTAAGCCACAGCCTCACAATGACAGGACACAGTGACCTACGTACCTTTGAAATGGCCATGGCGCCGTCATTCCATCTCCCAACCCAGGAATAGACCCGTGGAAGACGGTGCACCGGAAGGTAAGCCACAGCCTCACATTCACAGGACACAGTGACCTACGTACCTTTGAAATGGCCATGGCGCCGTGCGCGGCGATGCACCTGAGGGTCAAGCCCAGCATCCACCACTCCGTCCCTGGCACCACTCTGGTTCATGCGACTTGAGCCTGACGCAGTACACAGTGGTACACTCACCTATTCCAAGGGGCTCAGCTCCATGGACGACGCTGTACCGGACGGTGAGTCTCCACTTCAGTCTCTGCAGTACATAGTGGGCAACTCACGCATGGTGGGGATACGTCACCGTGGACCACGATGGACCTGACGGTGTGATGCAACAAGGACCTGTTGCACCCTCTCAGCGGGGTTGAGCAACAAAACCAATCCACATTGGACAGTGGAGTACGCACCTGTGGGACGGAAACGACAAAGTGCCACTTACCAGAGGGACGTGCTCAACACCAGTCTAGCAGGACACAGTGGTGCACGCAGGTGTAAAAAGAAGATGGTGGCGTGGAGAACGATGTACCTGAGCGCTATCCATGCCGTGAACGATGTGGCTGTGAATGATGGGCGCAAGCCTTTCTTGGCATCCACCCAAGCCATTCCACTCATTGCTCCTGCCCCATAGCCCACAATCTCGAAAAACAACTACTCTGTGTTGACCCAAGTGTCACTCAAAGAAATCGTTGCCAGGATGCACGTGTATTGGAACCTCAATACGCATATACAACTAACTGGTCGTCTTGGCACAGGTCCACTCCGTCTTGGCACGGGTCCACTCCTTAAGCGCCCGTCGAGCGCCAAGTCCTCAGGGAGTGCCCAAAGACGAAATGCAGTCAGGTATGGGCCATTGTTATTCACTTAACCTGTAAGTACTTACTGTGCCCATGTCTCTGTTCTACGAAACGATGACTTACTCGACTACCTTAATTCCACGCCGGTCGCGGACCAAAGGGTTGTGACCCCTCCACCATAGCAATTATTTAAGGCGTAGTAGTCTAGTGGAGACAAGCACTGATTTCTGTCAGAGCGGCGGGGGTTCGAATCCCTCTTCTGCGCAAACTACTCAAGAACCTTGGTGTACGAACACCCGTTCGTACACCAAGGTGCCT